TTGGAGAAATCCTCCTGCCTCATCGGCCCAAGTGGTGGGATTACAGGCGTGCACTACCATGCCCAGCTCCTTTCCTTTCCTGTGGCTCCAATTCAGATCACACCTATTGCTGCCTGACCTACTGTCAAGGCCAATTCTTGCCCACTCTCTCCAACAAAGACTTCTCACCTACACAGTAAACTATTCTCTATCCTTAAGGCCCAATTTAAAAATCACTCTTTAGGGCCAGGGATTTAGCTCAGTGGTTCTGGCCCCTGCCTTGAAAGTGCAAGGTTCCGAGTTCAATCCCCGGTACCAAAAAAAAAAATCACTCTTTAAGCCAGGCATGATGATGCATGCCTGTAATCCCAGCACACAGGAGGCTAAGGCAGGAGGATTGCTGTGAGTTCAAGGCCAGCCTGGGGTACACGGTGAGTTCAAAGCCAGGCTGAACTACATAGTGAGACCCTGTCTCGAAAAAGAAAAGAAATCACTTTCAAAGACCCTTTCCTGTTCTTTCCTCCTCTCACAAGGTTAGATACTTGGCAGGCCTTAGAACCACAGGCCTGTGCTGTCAGAGTTCTGGCCTTTCCACATGTGGGTTCCCATGCTAACAAGTTCCTGGGCAAGGGAATTTAATGTATTCATTTTTAGACCCCTTTGCCCAGTGCCTGGTACTGGGACTCTCAATAAATTTTTGCTTAACTAAATTTACTTGAATTTTCCAAGAAGTTGCTGTCTTTCTTTCAGTGACTCGGTGATTCTTTTTCTTTCTTTTTCTTTTTCTGTTCTTTTATTTATTTACTTATTTGTTTGTTTATTTGTTTGTTTTTTGGAACCGGGGATTAAACTCAGGACCTTGTGCTTGAGAGGCAGGCATGGCGCCACTGAGCTAAATCCCCAGCCCCTTCTGTCCTTTTCTTTTAAAGACGGAGTCTGCCTGGACTACATAGTGAGACCCTGTCTTAAAATAAAAATAAATTTAAAAAGACAGGGTCTCATTATGAGGTTTTTGATAGCCTTAAGCTCACTATGTAGCTAGCCTCATACTGGGGAGCCTCCTGGCTCAGCCTCCCAAGTGCTGGATTACAAGCATGTGCCGCCATATCCAGCTGACTTGGTGATTCTTTTCAGAGATAGAACTAGTGAAGTGTTCCCAAAGTTTCTTTAGCTATTCTTTCCCCTGATAACAGATGCCATTCATTCAGCCTCGTCTGTGTATCTGGTACTGTCCGGTGAGAGATTCTAGTGTTATCCCATTTTACAGAGGAGAGTTCTGAGGCATATCCAGCTGGTCGGCTGAGGTAGGGTGCCTGGTTCACTCCCAAATCTATGAACTGCTATCTGCATACATTCTTAACTGTGGTCATCTAGGTTTTTAAGAAGTACAGTCTTAACTGCATATTTGATTTGTATGTCTAGACTCAAGTCTGTTAGGATAATCTCCATTTTTATTTAAGCTCCTCCTTTGAGATTGTTTTTCTAAATAGCCTAGAACCAGGAAGAGCAAGTGGTAGTAGCCAAGGCCCTGTGGTTGGAGGCCCTCCCTTGACCCCCTAGGTGACCAGCATTTTTATCCCACATTTTCTCTCAGAAGAGAAAAGTTCAATTCCAGATGCTAAACACTGAGGAAAGACTAAAGGTTCTCAGCCCTCTGTGAGCTCACAATCTTAATGAGATAGCAAATGTGTTTGTACAAACACACACACACACACACACACACATTCTGACTACAAAACCAGGTGGTAAGTAAAAAAGAGAATTAAGCTGAGAGTCTGAAGCATCTGGATCCAGACTTTCATCTGCAGTTCCAAAATCAAAAAATCTGATTTTTTGGTTTTGGGGGGGTTTTTTTGGTTTTTTGAGACAGTCTCACTATGTAGTCCAGGCTGGCCTTTAACTCACTATGTAGCCCAGCTTGGCCTTAAACTCAAGGTGATCCTCCTGCCTCAGCCTTCAGAGTGCTGGGATTACAGGTATGCGCCACCATGCCTAGCTCAAAAAACTCTTAAAACAGTTTTTTCACAATTCATTTGGAGGTAAAACCTGGCGTAACATGAAGTTTTTGTATGGTCTTTATTCACCTCTGTAAGTGTGAGTCTCATTTATTTTGCTACAGAAACACTGATCACAGGGTGCTGCCCCTACCTGAGGAGTAGATGGTGTTGAACTCTGGAGTACATCTGGCCCCAAGAGCTTAAAGGAGTTATGAGCTGAGTGTGATCTCCCACACCTGTCATCCCAGCACTCAAGAGGCTGAGGCAGAAGGATCTCTGCGAGTTGGAGGCCAGCCTGGGCTCCATAGTGAGTTCAAGGCCAGACTGAACTACATAGCGAGACCCTGTCTCAAAAAGAAAAAAAAAGGAGTTGTGAATCTATGTCTTGGCTTGAACAATTGCCAAAAAACTATGGAAAGTCGGCAGACTGAAAAATAAACTCATGTAAGATGGTCTCAAATGGTAGTCACCCCTTCCATGTAATGAGCAAAAGACATCTTAGGAGGAGTAAAATTTGAGCTGGGTCTTGAAGAGTGAATTGAATTTCACATTCCATGGAGAAGTGATGAAAACAAAATTCTAGGCTGAGGGAGGAACATGTAGAAAATGTGCAGAGAAAGAAATGTCTTTAAGCAGCTTGAGCCCATTGACTTTGTCAGCTTCTGGGGAAAAGTGATTATCTGTCAAAATGCAGGTGACAAGCAGTGGCATAATACAAAGGGGCAGCTAGTCTAAAATCCATTTGCTCTGAGCAGGATTATTCTTTGAGATGTGGACTTCATACCTCTGCTCACAGAAACATCACTGATACCTCCCTGCCTGGTCTGCTGGGGCTGTGGTGGCCACTGATGGTCCCTCCCTCTCCCCATCAAGCAGGTGCACCAGGGGTCAACCTACAGGCTGGGGCTCATTTCACTGCCCTCTGCTTGGTCTTGGGTCAGCCCCTTACTAGGTAGCTTCTCTAACATCAGACTCCCAGGTTCAGAGCAGATCGGCCACTTACTACTGTTAGTGGCTTTGAGGAAGTTATTTACCTCTTCTGTGGCTTTGTTCCTCAGCTATAAAGGCAGAACAATAGCATGAAAGCTGCTGGAATAGATGGAAGCTGGCCTCTAAAGCACTTAGCAGGGTGTCTGCTGGTGAGCACTCAGTAAGCAGTGCATATTCTTTTTTTTTTTTTTTTTTTTGGTACCGAGGATTGAACTCAGGACCTTGCACTTGTGGGGCAGGGGATGGAACCACTGAGCTAAATTCCCGGTCCAGTGCTTATTCTTATAAAAAGGACTCCCCTCCTCCAGCTGTGTATACGAATACATACACTCCATAACACTTCACTTTCTTTTAAAAGCCCTTTATTCTTTCTGCCCCTGATCATCCACTACTTCCTAGTTAGCCATTTTCTGTAGAGAGTTTTTCTATACTGGTTTCTTGCCGCTGTTCCTCAATCATGGTGAAGCATTGCCTTCTTCACTTTGGTCAGGATCTTGGGATCCCCAGATCCTCAGGGCCCCTGGGAAGTAGGTGGCGAGTCCCAAACTCGCTTCAGGGTGCTGATGTAGAGCAAGATAAATAAGAGTGCTGACTTTGGAATTAAGTAAACCTGCCACTTAGCAGTCACCTAAGCCTGTGTAAGTTCCATAGTCTTGAGGAACCTTGTTGCCTACTAGGTAGGCTGGGGCTATTAATACTTCCGTCCCAGAAATGGCATATCTTAAATTAGATCGTGTACGTAAAGGCTTCCACATAGGGCCTGGTGTATAAGAAATAACCTCATGAATACCTGCCTCCACTGTTAGTATTATGCAAAGCATTTCTTGAAAATCACACTTCTTCCCAGAGATCAAGCCTTGGGTATAATTAAAAGCTTGGAGTTCTGCAGGAAGTGGGTAGATTACCTCAGCATAGTGCGGTGATGCTGTGGCCTCATGCTAAGAACCTCTGGTAGACAGTCACATATGGCTTTGCTAAGTAAAAATATAAGAATGATTAATAATACAAACATTTGGGCAGAAAGAAGCATTGCAAACCTGAAGTCTTGTAGTATGGAAAAGAAAAGAGGGGTCTCTGGTCACCAAAAAGTCTTGGGGACCCCGTGGTCTAGCACACTGATCAGTGCTGGCTGGTTGGTAGATTGCCTCTTTTAAAGTTTAGTTTTGTTTTGTTTTGAAATAACAAAAGTAACACATGGGCATTGTCACTAGGCTTCCTTCAAAAAGCCTGTGGCAGTTTTCACCCACTAAGCAAAATTTCAGCAGGATCAAGATACCGATACCGCCATGTCAGGAGTCCAGTATGAGCAAAGGGACTTACCACAGACTTAAGACGGAAGAGGCTCTTGGAAGTGATCAAGTCCAAACCCCTGCACACCCCATCCTACAGATGGAGAAGCAGAGGCCTAAACCAGAGAAGACTCGCCTACCTTCCATGCCCTAGCCCTCCTGGAGCTTTATATCTAAGATGTCAGACCAGGAGCCATCCCTTGCCATCACTCCGGGGGATGAATCACAGTCACCAGAGAGTTCTTTCCAAACACCTTGGTGTTATCTCCATTTCCCCTCTTTCTGCCTATGTTTATCAGGGCCAACAAAGCCATAAACAGGTGGAGGGCAAGTGGAAACCTGGGGTTCCCCAGATGTACATTTTCAGAACTAGTTGAGGTGCCCTCGTGGAGATCCTGGTTGAGTATCAGAGCTGAAACCTTAGAATTTGTATTATTGGACTCCTCACATGATTCTTAGAGCCAAGCAAGTTTTGGGGAACGCAGGGCTGGTCTAGGCTTTCACTGACAGTGTTCTGTCCCAGAGTAGGCACTGGAAACAGGGAGGCCATTGGGGTGATCTACTTGCAGTAGAGAGCCTGTGCCCCATTATTCCTTATAGCACCTTCCTTTCCCAGCAGAACCTAATTCCTGGCCAGGCATGGCAGCTCAGACACATTGCCTGACCTATTTTGGGAAATGATTGGAGCAGAAGACACCCAGTTAGCCTGGCTGACATTAATGTCTCTCTTTGGCTTTGTGCTTAGACTAAAGAATCTGGAGCTGGCTGCCTTGGGAGGATCAGATGTCCACGTGAGGATGCTGGCGGCCCCTATCAATCCATCTGACATAAATATGATCCAAGGTAACCCTGGTTTCTAGGGGTCATGTTAATTGGCTTTTTCGCTCAGCTGCCACTTCATTTCCTTCCTCCTCAGGTATGAGTGTGAAATTCCTGTGATTAACAGTAGCTGTTCTCCAGAGGAGCCATGCACAGACTGTGTCAGCCCTCCCTAACCTCCCTTCTCTGAACATGAGGCTTTGAGAGAGTCGGGAAGATTGCAGTGGGGCATAAATCAACCTCTGTAGAGGGGTGGCCACATGCTGGGCTCCTTTCTTATGTTACTTTTTTTTTTTTTTGGTACCATGGATCGAACTCAGGACCTTGTGCTTTTCAGGCAGGTGGTGGAACCACTGAGGTAAATCCCTGGCCCTTTCTTATGTTACTTTATCTTCATGGTGACTATGAACGCTAAAGGGTCTCAGCCCTGTGGACCGAGGCTCAGAGGTTAGTTAGGGAGATGGCTGGTGAGAGGCAGAGACCCACTCAAGCTCCAGTCTGACTGACCCCAAAGTCTGTACTCTCATCCAGGCACAAGCTATAATCCTGCACTCTGGGAGGCTGAGGCAGGAGGATCACACGTTCAAAAACAACCTGAACTACATAGTGAGACCCTGATTCAAAACAAAAACAAAACAAAGTCTCTCCTGGCCCACATTTCATTGGATGACCCTTTGCTTTTGTCTCCCCCAGGGAACTATGGCATCCTTCCCAAACTGCCTGCTGTTGGAGGAAATGAAGGCGTTGGACAGGTGGTAGCAGTGGGCAGCAGTGTGACTGGGTTGAAGCCAGGAGACTGGGTGATTCCAGCAAATGCTGGTTTGGGTGAGTTTCCCCTGCTGGCAGCAGCCTTTTCCTTCTCCCTGAACATGCTTCATCCACTCTGGAGACTGTTCATTCATCAGTGCAGGGCTCCCTATTAAGTTCCTACATTGCTTCATGAGGGGTGTGCGGAGCAGAATGCTGTTTCTTTTGCTCTGGAGGTAGAGTACCTTCCCTCATCTCCTTGAGCTGTAATTCTCTGAATCCCTACGTCCCTAAATCCCTGCTATAAGATGCAGTGGAGAATATAGATAAGGTAATCCCTGCCCTCCAGGAGGCTCAAATCTAATTGAAGAAATCTCTGAACCAATAACTTCAGTAAAGGAAGTGCTCCAAGTTCACAGGAAGCAGGGGGCACTTCTGACTCCTTTGTATACTCTTCACACACAGGAGTGCATGTGAGTGTGAGTGAGTTTGTCTTGGAGAAGAATCAAAAATAGGCTTTGGGGAGGAGACTTCATTAGAACAGACTTTTGATGGGTAGATTTTGTTAGGTAGAGATGAGTTTAGAATCATTTCTCATGGAAGAGGTAAAATAAGCAAAGACACAAAGGTGAGTTTGGGAGGTGGTGGCAAACCCAGTGCAGCCTCTGCAGAGGACATGCATGTAACAGAGGGTGCATGAGTGAGAAAGAAGGCTCAGAAGTAGAGGGGGCCACATGGGGTGAGGCCCTGCAAACCCCAAGCTAAGGAGTAGGATTTTCTTCATGTATAAAAAGGAGTCATGGGCCGGGAATTTAGCTCAGTGGCACCACACCTGCCTCACATGTGCAAGGTCCTGAGTTTGATCCCCAGTAGCAAAAAAAAAAAAAAAGGAGTCATTAGTGTATTTGGCTTTTCAGCACTTAGACAGTTTTGTTTATTTTTGCAGCACTGGGGATTGAACTCAAGGCCTTCACACTAAGCTACATCCCCAGCTCTTTTTTTAGTTTTTATTTTGAGATAGGGTCTTGCTAAGTTGCTTAGTTACCCAGGTGGAACTCAGACTTGCAATCCTTCTGCCTCAGCCTTCCTGGAATTATGGGAGTGTGCCACCATGCCCAGCTCACTTAATGGTTTTTGGGGGTTTTTTGGTACTGGGGATCAAACTTGGGTCCTTGGGCTTGCACAGCAGGCGGCGAAACCACTGAGCTAAATCCCCAGCCCCCTCACTTAATGGTTTTTGAGGCACATCCATTATACAAATAGGTCTTCACAGGTAGGTATGGCGTGCACACCTGTAATCCCAGCTCTCTGGGAGGCAGGAGGATCAAAGAAACTTAGCGAGAAATTGTCTCCAAATTTTAAAAAGGGCTGGGGATGCAGCTCAGCGGGAAGGCCCTGGGTTCAATCCCCAGTGCTGGAAAAAAAAAGAAAAAAAGTGTCTTCACAGCAGCCACAAGAGAGCAGGGAGGCAGACATCACCTACCCTGTCGGCTACATGGGGAATTGAAGCTTGGGAAGTGGAGTTTGCCTGGACTCCAACAGCAAAATGAGAGTAAGCACTAGACTCTTGTCTCCTGTGTCTGCCCACTTGTGTTAGGGCCCTTTGGGTTGTAACTTACAGAGACCTAACTGAAATTTGCTTTTAAAAAAAAAAATAGTTTAATTGATCTGTGGAGCTTGGAAGTGTAAGAGCAAAAACACCTCAGGCACAGCTGGACCCAGCAAGCTAATGCTGTCAGAGATCGGTCTGTCTCTTGTTGTCACTAGTTCTCAGATGAGATCTCCCCCTACAGAGGAATAAATCATAGCAACAAGTTTGTACTGACCCCTCCCTTTGAGCTGGGCACAGTTCTAAGCACTTTAGTACATTAACTCTGTTATTCCCTCAGCACAAGATATATACTTTATTAAGGTGAGACCAGTGTAAATGTAAAGAATTAAGCAGCTCGCTCAAGGTCACCCAGTCAGTAAGTGGTAGAGCTCAGATTGAAAGCCACTGTAACCACTTTCATAGATGGCCACCAGCTCCCTGAGGTTTACATCATCCTGCGAACAAATAAACCGTCCTCCACAATGACATGGAGCACGACTGTGCATGTCCCCCAGCACAGCCCTGCCTGGCCCTGCCTGCTCCTTGCCCATCCATGAACCAGTCAGCTGGGACATGTGTTGGGCCACTTCTGTTGCCCTGGCTGAGCCTTTCCCACCTCTGTGGTAGCAGAGCAAGAGGCCTTATGGGCAGAGCAGAGAGAGATTAGGAAGGGGACCAGGCAGGAACCAGCAGTGAGTGACAGGTGTCTACTATAAGCTTTTTGTTTCTCTGAGCTCAGGGAAGCTGTCAAGCGTGGCTCCATCCACTCTCGTGCTCAATGGCAGAGAAATAGCCCCACCACCTGATCACAGGGAGAGCTGTGAGGACTCAGTGGAACTGATGCCAGCGCTGTGAGCCAGCACCTGCACAGAGTGAAGGGCATCCTAAGATGGGTCAGAAGCTCCTGCCCTCAGGGTACTCTTGGCTGGGGTGGGAGGCCCAGAAATGGAAAGGCAGCACATAATGTGGGGCAATATATGATATAGGATCGAAATATAAGGGGAATATTTAAATTTTAAAAAATTATTGTAGTAAAAGATACATTGTTAATCCCCCTCAAAATACTCTCCTTCACACTGAATACACTCATTCCACCATTCTTGCTGCTTTCTGAAGCAGTTTTGGAAGTCCACTTTTATGAGTGGCTTTATGAGATGCAATAAAAAATGTGGCAAATGTTGCTGCCCAACACATCTGGTGGAAAGACAGACTCATAAAACATTACAGTGTGCCCTCATTCACCTTATTCACCAGTTCCAGCACTTTGCAACTTCTGGCTCTTCCCCAATGTCAAAATGACTGTGACAGGTAAATGTTCTGAATGGATTCAGGACTTCGAGGCCACCACCAAACTAAAGACAACTAAAGACACAAAAGAGGACCTCCAGAACTGTTGCAGAAAGTGGTAAGAACAATTGGATAAGTGTGTTGTTAGGGAAATGAATGGCAATGTATCTATTATTGTAATTTTTTAAATTTAAACATTTACTGTATTTTTCAATCACACCTCTTAAGCGCTGATATCACACAATGGATACAAGGCTACTGTGCCCTGGTGGGAAAGATTCCCAAAGTCATAATACTTGAACTTGGTCTAGAAGCCCAACTAGAAGTGCATCAATGGGCCAAATGAGCAGAGAGGGGCTTCCCAGGCAGGGAGCGAAGCATGTACAAAGGTTGGACGATGGGAGAAGACACAACAGTGTCAGAACAGCAGGCAGCTCCAGGATGCTGAGCCCTGAGCAGCAGCAAGAGAGAGCAAGATAGAGTTGGAGAAGTCAAGTGCCCTGGGTCATGGGAGACTCAAGTGCATCTGGTTAGAAGGCTCCTGACAAGAGAATCAAGTAGAGGGATGCTGTTACCAGATGTGAGCAGTATAGAGAGTGGTGTGGAAAGTCAGAGGGTGGAGGAAAAAAGCCAGTGAGGAGGTGGGTGTGAAGTTCGAGCTTCAGTAAGGAGGATCTGAGCAAGACAGTACCACAGGGATGGAGAAGAGGAGCAGGTTCAAGAGCTGGAGCCATGGGACTCAGTGGTACTTTAGATTTGGAGAGAAGCATAAAGGATGCACCAGGTGTACAGGTGATGGAGACCTGGTGGTAGGGCAGCCACAACAGGGATGAAAAGAGAGGAAAGGCCAGTGTTCTAAGCAAGGTGCCACTCGGAGGATGAGGATTTCATAATCATGAGAACTATAATTAACTTAGTTTTCAGTAAACAGTTCATGGGGACTATAATTAACCCAGTTTTCACTAAACACTCTGTGAGCAAAGTGCTAGGCTCTAGGACACAGCAGTGAACAGTCCTCTGCACAGGTTGGTAAGAGTGTTAGCCATCAAACACACAAGTCCTGCCAGATTTCGGTCATGTTCCACAGTCCTGAGCTGCTGACCATGCCCATAGCCAGCTTTTCCCCACATGCAACTGGGCCAGAAAGTGGCTAGATACTCGGGAAGCACTCAGAACCATTCAGAGGCAGGATGGGGCCATGGGAAGCAGTGGCCTGGCAACCATCTGCAAATTCTCCTTCCAGCTCTGCCTCAGTTTCTTCTTCTCTAAAATAGAGCTAATTGTTCCTGCCTTGCATATCTCAACAGACTCTTAACCTAATCATGTCTCATTTCTGTTCTCTTTTCTCCAAGCCCTTTTCTTCATCTCCTCTCCTCTCCTGTATGTCTCCCACCATCTTTGTCCTTTCCTGACTTTCTCCATTTCTTCAACGTGATAAGCATATAGACTTAAGCACTCCTCCAGTGTACTTCCAAGAACTGTGAAGTCCATGTTCATCCAAATGTACCAAAAAAAGTCCCCCTACATATCTAAAAAACTGTCGCTTCTCCTCCAAAACTTCAGATTCCAGACATTCCCAAATACAATATGAGCTTTATTTTCTTTCTTTTTTTTTTTTTTTTTTGGTACCAGGGATCGAACTCGGGACCTTGCGCTTGCAAGGCAGGCACTGGAACCACTGAGCTAAATCCCCAGCCCCAAGCTTTATTTTCTTTGGTTTCTGTAATAGCAAATATTTTGAAGGAAAATTGTACACCTGACTTCTAGTTATACTAGAAGTCACATCCAGTAGGGACTCTTCTTTTTTTTTTTTTGAGTTGGTTGTTGAGAAGTTTCAAAAATCAATCTTTGCAGGGTGTGGTGGTACATACCTGTAATCCCAGCACTTGGGAGGCTGAGCCAGGAGGATTGCCATGAGTTTGAGGCAAGCCTGGAATACATAGTGAGTTCAAGGCCAGCCTGAACCATATAACCAAACCTTCTCAAAAAAGGGGGGTGGGCAGGAATTTAAGCTCAGTGATTCTGGCACCTGCCTCACAAGCTCAAGGTCCCGAGTTTGACATCCGGTACCAAAAAAAAAAGTCTTCAACTGTAACCTTTTCAAATACATCTACACATAAATCACACATTTCAGTAAGCATTTTCAAGACTGTTGGCCACTTAAATTTCTTTGATGTTGGTGAACTAGCCTAACCATTAC